ATACCTACCTCCTCACCCATGTATGCAGCCTCTGTTTCAATTTAACAACTGTGATGGTGCCCAGTGATATTGCTTTGATTGCTTACCATCACAAATGCTCTTAGCCTCCTGCTCTTAGCCCCCAAAAAGCTTGGGAAGAGCATGAGAAATCTTGCATGCTTTTTAAAAGAGATGGAAATCATGGAATCTATGACCCCTGCTATCTTTCTGTTTTAACAGACATACTATTACTAAAAAAAAATAGACATAAAATATTCAGTACTCAATCTGCATTCAAAGATGATTTTTCTGGGAAAATTCCTAAGAGTTTTCCTTTGACAGCATCTCACATATCACAATGTGATAATTATGCATACAGTAGATTTTTTTAATGCTGATTTTTGTTCACAGTGGGTGCCTCTATACGTGCAATTAGCACATAGTAATAAACTCTGGCACAATTCACACCAGAGTTTATTTCTCCTGGGCACAGTGTTTAGATGTGCACTCAGGACTGCAGCCCATTAAGCCAGGCTGGAGCAGCCCCAGCTGGCAGGAAGTCTGCGGAGGAGGTGGGGGTCAGCCTGCCAGCCTGGGGCTGCTCTGACCTGGCTCAGTGAGCTACAGGGAGGCTGGCTGGGCCACAAGAGTGCTACAGCACGGGGCTAGCTAGCAGCCCCACACTAGCACCCATGTGCCACAGCCAGCTCGGTCACTGTTAATGTGCGTGTTTCAGTGTATGTAATTACTCCGCCGTAGAATAGTGCTTGTCTCGGACAGTACTATCCCACAGCAGAGTTAATTAATTTACTGTGCTGTAATAAGGGCAGATGTGTAGACGATGATGCTTTACTGCAGAGCTAATTAGTCAGCTTTGCAGTAAAGCACACATGTAGATGCACCCACTCTGGGTAACAACATAAACTTCTGATACAATACAATTCTTTTAACCAAAATGTCATTTTTTTCTACTGCAGCACATAAAATGTCTCTCTAAATTTATTCTCAGAAGGGCTTTTCTTTGATTTGATTTTCAAACTGGTACTAACTTTTCTGTAGAAAAAGAAAAAGGAGAAACACCATCTGATCCTTAAAGAGGAGAAATTATATCAGAATCATTTACTGGCTTCAAAATGTAATTTAAGTACAGTGTATCTAGAAGACCATTGTTTTTGAAGATGACATGAAAACAGTAGGGCACTAGTGCTAAATACTTCATTAGCTGGCAATTCGTAATACTAAACTGACTCAAACCTTTGGATTTCTTCCACAGGACTTTTGATTCTGAATTCAAATATTTCTGCCATAAGGAAAGCACCTGTTAAAATCATACTGCAATTGACTAGAGTATCTCAGAAAGATACAGGGAGGGATGAGTCTCTACTCTGCTTTTTCTGGTTTTTATTTCTTGGACTGATCATCAGTTTATCACCACATCAGAGATTACACAGATTTCTAAGGAGGAGGTAATGCAGTTTTTATTTAGCCAGCCTTTAGGCCTGATTCTTATCTCTTTCAAACATACTTACATGAAATCAGTATCAGGCCTTTTCTACCTGATTTTTAAACATTTGAATCCCTTGTTTGAAAGCATCTGACTTGAAAGGCAAAGATTCCCCCAGGAGGGAAACTGTTGCCAGAGCTCTTTAAATAGAAACACATGAAAAGCAGAGTCTTCCTTTTGACTCTTGGCATGGTGCCTTAATGGCAACTGCCTCTGGCCTTCTCAGGGCTCTAGCTTGTTCATGTAGGTACCTTCAGCATTTTAAAGGGCTGGTGCTGCAGCACAGGGAGTATGTTTTGGGATGAAGAAGGACTTTTTCTGCATCAAATGTTTTCTCATGAAAAGGGATCTGCTTTTGCCCAGAAACTCAGTAGGCGGCTTGCTTGCTTCTTCCCTATTTCTTTCTAAGGAGAAAAGAGTATTCCGAAGCAACCCTCTAATGAACCTGTGCAAAGGTTTGCCTCAACTATATTAGTAGACAAGGAAGTTCACAAATAATCTAGAGAAAATCTTTATTGTTATGACAGCTCAGAAATAAGTTTATGAGATGGGAAGTGATATTATTCAACTAAGTTACCTGAATGAGTTCCTTTGCTTTCCTGGACAATGAAAATTTCCAGAGAGATGTGTTAGCAATGAACAAGACAGAAACTGACAAACTATAGGAAAAGAAAAGTATACTGGTGTGTGCTGTGAGTGGCCTTGGTCCACAAATGTATGCCACACTACACTAGCTCCTGTCACACCTTGATAACATTGTTCAAATTTCAGATCTGACACAAAGAAATACTCTTACCTGCTTTCCTTTTGATGGTCTTGTATGAGAGTCAGGGCATGCAGTTAGGATACATATGTGTTTTGGAAAACAATTGTTCTTGCTTTTAATTGAAAATTGGAAGGCATGTATTATAAAGCAAAGAAGCAGCTTAGCTAGGGAGTGTGACAGGGAGCCAAAAGAGCACCTACCTTAGAAATTTGCCTGGGTCAGAGACCCATGGGGAGTTGGGCAGACCAAGAGCTGCCTTACCTAGGTCAGAGACCCCAGGGAGCTGTCATAAGAGAAAGGGCCATGGAGCCCAAAGCCTGAGAGGGCAAAACCAGAATCCAAGAGGGCAAGAGAGGCTGAACTTTGAAACAGTGAGACCAAAGGACCGAGGGGCCCACAGCCCAAGAGGTTGAGACCAGGGCTGGAGCCCAGGAACCAAGGTCCAGGGCTGTGGACCTCAACTGAGGGGCACGGCCAGAGTAAGAGGGACAAGGCTGGAAGGTTGGAGGTCTGAGGGGTCAAGTGTCATGTCCCCTCCAAATTGATACTGAGTGACACCCACAAGCCATTGGTGTGGCTATGGGGGAGGCCCCTAAGGCAATTCAGTGTTTAAGGGCAAAACTAGTGCCTGCTGGGCATGTGAAGCATAAGACAGCTGAGGGACAAAGGCTCACTTCAAGGCTCTGGGACAGTCTTCCACAATACTATAAACTCCATTGAGGCATGACAGGCTAGGTAGAAAAGGAAGGGTACTCTGAGGAGCCGGAGTGGGCCAGCAGATGTTTGACTACTGGGGGCAGCACAGCTGGCCTTAGGGCCAGGCCCTGCTACAGGGGGTTGAACACTGACAGCCTTTTGTAGTGGGGGGTGGGGAAACAATCCTTTGAAAAACCTCAAACAGTCTCGGTAAATATGCTTGCTACCTTATACACCAGTGACAATGACAAATAAATATGAAAATTACATCTGCTACACTACATAATGCTTGAACTGTGTGTCTTAGGATGCCAGATAAAAATCAATGAGCATCTCCAAAAGCACTCATTACTGGGGAAAAAGGGTATTTAACGTTCCATCTGGAGATGCTTTGTAACTTCCTCTCACTGATTTGGAGGGAACCAGATTTCTTGCCTGCTAGGTTTATTTTCTATTAACTACACCACCTCTTATAAAATGAACTGTAATTGTTTGTGCATTTCATTTCCTACTAAATCTCATACATATGCATCATAGCTGGCCTGTTTTCATAAACTAATAACAAAAAAGTATCCATGTTAAGATTTAAGGAAGAAAAGGTGAACATTATCCAAAATGCATGCCTGAAAATCAGTATGGACTGTCGCTTGAAAACCAGGGGTTTGGTTACTAAGACTAAGCTTTATCTGGATCCAGATCTATATCTAGTGATTTCTTATGTTTCTAAACCGTAACCGTATCTTCTCATGAAGCAGCACTAATGTAGTTTGGAAGAGAAAAAGAAAAGCATTAAGGGCAATTCGGCTCTAAGCTGAAATCTGATTCTGCCTAACCACCTTCACAACAATCAGCCCAGAAAAAGTTTGCTCTGTATTATGCAGATGGTGGCATGGAATAAAAAAAATTACCTTTTTCTTTTACCAAAAAAATAAAATAAAAACCACACAATTAAATCATGCTTCTGAATACATTTATCCTCCATAATAGTGCACTAATTAGTCCTAAACTGTCAAAAAAGCTGCAAGTTTTAAAGGGGCAAAACAATTGCAATTTAATACGTTTTACGTTTGCACAAACATAGCAGAAAACACTTATTATGGTGGTGCCTGTTTCCTAATTGATTTTCTTAAAATTTGCTGCAAAGTTAGCTTCTCTGATACTCTTAAGTTAACATAAAAATAACCCAAAACATTATCTTACAGCATGAATTTAGAAGGACTAAAAAAAAAAGCAATTTACAAGATTTGAAATGTATTCCCTGGCAAAACACCTGCTCCACCCATATGAATCTCCATGTTTTTCTCTCCTGCTTTTTATACATGAAACTACATTCTGAAACTAGTCTCTACCCTACTTTCTGCCTTACATCAAACTAACATGGCTAACTCTGTCTCATATCTTCTTGGCCATTTTGCCTTCATGTTTTATACTAGTGGGAGCCAACCTTCTTGGCAGGCATGCCACAAAATAAGCCTTGGGCCTTCCCCAGGTACCACTCTCATCCCCTTTCCCTACCTGATCTCCTGCTCTGCTTTCTATACCTTGCCCTTTGCTCCCTGGGTAATTTGCTGCTCTGTTTTCTGCTCCCTGCCCAACCTGCTAATCTGCCTTCTGCTCCCTCTCTGAACTGCTATGTGTCAAACATGAAGGCTGCCCATGCCACTTGTAGTACCCATGCCATTCGTTGGCCACTCCTGAACTTATCCTGTTTCTCCTGTCTTAGTATTTTTATGTCCTTAGACTACTATTCTAAAAACACTTGCCTGTACCTAGTTCAGTCTGTTTCTAGTCGTAGATATGTAAAATTTCAATAAATGTGTGCAAGACTAGGGCTTCAGCTTATAAATTCTTTGGATCACAGACCTCACAAGATCCCAGTCATGGTCAAAGCTTTTGGGCTATGTTGCAACAATATAAATACAAACTCATGCACTAGCCAAAATGGGGAATAATCTGCAAAAACACAAAGAAACATCTAGGTTTAAGCAACACTGACCCACAGATTCTTTGAGGGGAAAACTTCTTAAATAGTAACATAAAATAAATCCATCTTACCATAAATTCCTGTCGAAATACAGGGGAATGCCTGTAAAACACAAACAAATAAATAAGCGGATTTTTGTTTTTCAAATGCTTATCAAAACTAAGAATATTTTAAATGCCTACTTATTACCATTACAAGATGCAATTTCCAAGTCTGGACAAAAGAACTATACCAGAGATCAATATTTTCATACACACTGTAGGAACTGAGAAACGCAACCTATGGATGGTCATTGTTGTCACTGCTAATGCTAGCTTTCTCCTCAGTGGCTGCATCTACTTACATGCTTAACTGTGAGAAGACTAATTAGCTGTGAAGTAAAGCATTACTGTCTACATGTGTGATGCTGTTAGGCTGCAGTAAACTAATCAATACCACCATAAAATAGTACTGCTGAGGACAATACTATCTTACTGTGGGGTAATTAACTGTGATTAAGTGCACATGTAGACACTGACTGCGGGCATACATTGTGCCCAGGCAGCTGGCAGCCAGACTCCTGCCTGCCACCTAGCCACACAGCTCTGTACTTTCAGCACCCTCATTCCCCAGGCAGCCCCTCTGCTGCCTGATGCCACCACCCAGAGCCTGACCTGATCCCCTATGCTCCCTGCCAGCCTGGGCCGAGCAGGGCAGGAGCGGCTCTGGCATAAACCGTTCCACTCCAGCTCACATTGCTGCAGTCCTGGGTGCACATGTAGATGCTGTGCCTGGGAGTAGTTTATTTCAGCTCAAACTGCTCCAGAGTCTAATGCTTTGAAATCACGATACATGTAGATGCATCCAATGGGCACATCTACACTAAATGTTTACTACGGAGTAGACTAATCAGCTCCTCAGTAAATGTCTCGCATCTATACCTGTACCCCTATTCAGCCACAGGAAACTAATTAACTCTGCAGGAGGGCAGTACTTGTAAATACAAGTACTACCCTCCTGTGGAGTTTTTAACTCTGTAACACCGCACATGTAGACACTGATGGGGCTGGCTGAGGCATGAGGGTGCTTCAGTGCAGAAGCTAGCCCCACACTGGATGGAGCACTCTCGTGCCCCAGCCAGCCCCATTGCAGCACACTGAGCCGGGTTGGAGCAACCCCAGGCTGGCAGACTGATCCCCTGGGTCCCTTGCTAGCCAGGTGCTCCAACCCAGCTTCACATGCTCTGGTGCCAGGTGCACATGTAAACACAGCACCCAGTAGCAATCAATTCTGTTGCACTAAGTACTAGAATATATTGCTTCACCTTAATAGCATGTGTTGACATACCCAGTGAGAAGTAAAGTAATGCTAACAGCACTCTAGCTAGTCTTAAGCATGTTATTTAGAAATGCGCAGCAATGAACCTGACACCACATTGTTTTAGGTTCACTTTTGTCAATTAAGGAAACTATAAGCAGCACTAGAATCAAACCATCCAAATATTCACAGGGAAGAAGGACCCCAAAACCAGCAGGTAGACAGGATGGATTAGCAGAACAATCACTGCCAGATGCATACACTTTGTAGTGGCTGCAAGACAAGGGAAGGGCAGAATACCAGATTCCGGCCAGACTTATGGTATTTTATTTACCATAAGAAAAAAAGCACCTTCGCCTCCAGAAAACTGGGTTGGATGATAAAAATAAAAGTAGACATCTATTATCTATGGAATAATGCAAGGGGGAAGCTACTAAGAAGATGATTGTAGTTAGGTAAGAGATTGTGATAAAAGATTCTATGATATTGGGCTGAAATCACCAAAAGACCCATCTTAACTAAAAGTAATGAAAGTGCCCCCAAAACAATGTTATGATCTCACATCTCATAGGTATATTGCTCCAAGGAACAAATGGATGTAGTTTATCTAGTCTTTTTTATAATCTCTAGTGATTACAAAAGTGAAAGAATTAGCAAAATGTTTAGACGATGTAGCCATGATGGTCCAGAAAAATGCAGGATTTTGTGGGTGATTTTTTTTTTTTTTTTGCTGGACCAACAGTATAGCTGAGAGGGTCACATAAAAACTTGTGGTTACCATGATATCTTTCAGCAGAAACTCAAGATAAAAAAGGAACTTTAGCAAATGTTTACCAATGATCTAAAATCATAATCTAGAATTGTTATAAAAAAAACAATCTGTATTAATCATCTGGGTTGATGGCCCCTTAATATATAGATGAGCTCAACACTACCATTAATATATTAATATATTAATAATATTAATACTAATAACACCAATATCACTATAACATAATATTAATTAATATAAATTAGTTAATTAATCAATATTGATAATTAATAATTAATATTAATTAATTAATTAATGTTACTATTAATCAATTAATCAATGCTAATATTAATTAATTAATGTTAATTAATGTATTTATATATTGATATTAAATAGTATTAAATAATTATATTAAATAACATAATATAATATTAATTATACTTAATATATTAATATATATTAATATTAAATAATATTAAATAATATAATATAATATAATATTAAATAATTAATAATATTAAATAATATATATTAATATTAATATATAGATGAGCTCAACACTACTATTCTCTAAAAATTCAGAGAGGAAATTAAATTAATCATGATTAGTGTTTGATTTCAGGAAGCAGGTGACTGGCTTGTGGACTTCAGCCATCCCATTTTCTTCTCTTACAAATATACTATTATCAAAACATCTGGGACTTTTGCAGCATGTTGTTCCTGTAAGCCATAGACATCCACTGTTGCCAACAATTTGTTTTCCCCAGGAACAATTTTACATATAAACAAAAGATTTAGTATTAACCCTTCCTCCCCTTCCCATTCCCCCCCCGACCATTCTTCTGGCTTTCAGAGTTGTGTGCAGCTCAAGGAATTTCAATGTATATTACATAAAAAACCCCCCAAAACCTTAGCAAAGAGGAAGAAATGTCATAGATTTGCTTTCAGGAGAAACAGATAAACACGTAAATATATAAAGCAAAAATCCACATATTCAACAGGACCCTCTATCCCATCAATTGAACTGTGATGCATAACTAAAGTTTTATAACAATGATGTACCATAGCAACAGCAATTAGAGATGGAGGGATGTAAACAGCAAAGAAATAGTAAAGCCACACATAAATCAAGGGGTTTATGTGCAAGGTGAATCAAAAATGTGCATTCATCTTGAGTAAGACTGTGACAGGTGGAATACAAGCTCACCTATCACATGTCCCAGCACATTGGACACGATGGATGAGAAGCTGAGGAACAGGGGCAGCCTTGTGGTATCCACTGTCTAAACCATAATTCAGCACTGAGACTGGGAATTACAGACAAACATTTGCAAGCATGTGTGCCAAAAGTGAACTATTGAGATGTACTAGTACCTTCAAATACCCTCTGGCTCTTTAAAGTTAAATAGCAAATTAGTAATATGCAGATAAGTTCTGACTCCTGGGGTAACTAACCTACAGTTCCCTTTTTAGTTTAGATCCTTTGTGAATGACTACATAACTATTCTACTTTGTACAGAAAAGTATTGTATCTTATGTTGTCAGAAACAGGCTGATGTGTTGTCTGAGATTATGCATGCTACAAACTGAAGCCTACCATCACCACTGCAGAAATAATCAATAGGAACTTAAACTGGAATCGAAGTCATAGAATCATAGAAAATAAGGATAAAAAGGACCTCACAAGGTATCTAGTCCCATCCTCCAAAGGCAAGATAGGCTATGCCTAAACAACTTCTGGAAGATACCTGTCCATCCTGTTCCTAAATGCCTCCAGTAATGACTGTCCTCAGCAACCAACTTTCCTTCCACTGAAAACATTTTTCCTGATACCGAACCTAACTCTCCGTTGTTGTAATTTAAGCCTGCTACTTCTTGTCCTAGCCTAATAGATGTAGAGAACAATTTACTGTATTTACTCATATATAAGATGACGCTCTGAATATAAGGTAAACCCTCTCCCCCCACCCCATGATACTTAAATTCTATGTATGAAAAATGTATAAATTTGTTATAATTTTCCAGGTATAGAATCTAATTACTGGAAGTCTGCCTTGAAATTTTCCCCATCCCAGTGCTACAGCAATGAAAATAAATCTGGGGTGCAAGTTGGGCCCTTTACCCTCTGCCCCAACTTCTTCTCCCTGAAGCCCCCTCACCCCCAAACACACCCCTTTACTGTCAGACCCTGCTGTCCCTGAGCACATGAAAGAGAGGAACAAATTTGAAAAGACCGACTTTGAAATAAACATGCCTGAAATAATTCACATATAGGCTAATTATACTATGGGTACCTATAGAGTTAGTTCAACCCGAATGGATGCATTTTTATCTTTTTCAAAACTGCTGCAAGTTTTAGCTCAGGTACTACATAAGCAACACTTGGTACCAGCTCATACATAGTACAAATTATGCATGATATTAGACCAAAGCCAAAAGGCTCATGATTTACAATATAATTCATTGGCCTGGGCCCCAGCGCAGTTAACAGCATTTCAAGCTATGACCCCACAGTTCAGCACTGCTAAGTATGTGGGTGTCCTCCAGATACTTCCCGAAAAAGATCCATGTGCTAATTAGCTCCACAATCATGAGTGGAACTGGGTGTTCTTGTCACGACTCCTGGTATCCTCCAAAAATGTATATGCAACCTGGTTCAGGTCCACTTCATGAACAGCAGGCCTATACTAATAATATGTGACAGGCTGAGAGAGAATGCAACAGAAGGATTCTGAGTGAACTGCTTGATGTCCCATTTTGTGACGTTTTCTGGGCATTTAAGGCTGGTGAATAAACAGGAATCACTGGAAATGGGAAAGAAAGGCACTGCTAAGCTGTGGGAGTGAAGTAGTAGTCGAAATATATTCAATGTAGTAGCTCACTATGACTTTAAAAAGAACCGGCACTGAAGGGGACTGAGCGCAATAGTCATTCTCACAGACCTTATTTAGATGGGTTGCAATAACCTTGTAATAGGTTCCCAATATATTTACCCATTATGGGCCATATGTTTAATAGTCATGCTCAGTGTTGGCTGCATTTAATCAACTTCATA